GGTGGTGGTCCTCTCTTTACTCCCAGTACTCCCAGCACTCGGAAATCAGAGGGGGGCAGATCTCTGTGAGTTCGAGGCCAGTCTGGTCTACAAAGTGAGTTCCAGGACAGACTCCAAAGCTACACAGAGAAATCCTGTCTTGAAAAACAGATTAAGGAAGGAAGAAAGCAAGGAAGGGAGGAATTAATCTAGATTTTATCTCAAGTCTCAGGAGGCAGAGGCAGGCAGATCTCTGTGAGTTCAAGGCCAGCCTGGTCTACAAGAGAGAGTTCCAGGACAACCAGGGCTACACAGAAAAACCCTCTCTCTCTCTCTCTCTCTCTCTCTATATATATATATATATATACACACACACACATATATGCACACACATATACTTGTATGTATGTATGTGTAGTAATATTTTGCTTGTACAAATTAAGCCTGTCTGAGGGTCAGAGAATAGAGCTTGCCACTAGCTAACCATAGAGGTCTGGATGTCTGTACAGACAGACAGGAAGTGAAATAGCTGGGCAGAAACCAGATATAAGCAGGGAGAAACAGGAACTCGCTCTCTTGTATGCTGAGACACTAAGGAGGTAAGGTGTGGCGGTGGTTTGCTCCTTCTCTCTGATCTCTCAGCATTTTCATGACTCCCAGGTTTTTATTAATTAGACCAATGTAGAACTCCATTTGTCTACAAATAAACAAACAAGAAATCTAGACTTTAACTTGCTATATATTTTAAAGCGCTCAAACTGTTGACACTCTGAGCCTGCGCCTCTCCCTGACCTTGTGTTACAGTACTGTCACAAGCCCTGGGCTTGAAGACTGGCTACTTAGGGTCTCAGAGACTTTCTTTTTAAAGGTCTTTGTTTTTGTTTTCCACCTGTGGACAGAGACCAGTTCAGTTTCTTTAGCAGGTTCCCAAGACTCTCACAACACCTCTGGCCAGTCAGTAAAACAATTTAAAAGTAGGTGCCGTGATCTAAGAACTCCTCTTTCCTCCAGTGTGAGCTTACTGAGAAAATTCATCATTGCTTTGTATGTGCATGCTCACACAAGTCCCTGATGCAGGTGTAAAGGTCAAGTCAGAGGAAACCTGAGGGAGTCTATCTCTCCTTCCAATATATAGGTTGTAGGGCTCAAACGTGGGTCTTCAGGCTCGGTGGCAAGCACCTTTACCCACTGAGCAATCTTGTTAGACCAAGAACAGTAAATTTAATCTAAACATTTATACATCAAGGCTGGGTGGTAAAGGATAATTGCCTATTAGTTTATTTACCAGTCATCTGGACGTATGAAATATCACAAGAAAAAACACTGAGAAGTTGGGGTCCTTGCTTGAATATGGAGTTAAAATGCAGAATCATTACTGTTTAGACACAACAATAATTAACTCAGGAATCTACTGCCCAAACAACCAGTTAGAATGGATGCAAGTGTAAACAGATAATGGAGACTGGCCTGGGGTCCTCACAGTCTAACTTCCTGTCTCTATGGTTTCCCTGGTGCTGGCAGTGACTGGTGTCACTGCTGGAGACTGCCAGGTTCTTCGGGAATGTTCTCGCCCTCTCTCCAAGTCCGACCCCGTTTCTTGTCTTTTTCTGCCTCAAGGTGTCAGACCTTTTATCAAGAGACTCAACATCATTGAGGAAAGATAAAACATAATTATCTTGGAAAAAAAAGTCAACTCACATATCTCTTGTAAAAAGTTAATTATCATCTCCCAAGATAAATCATACTTGGGGAGCCCACTCAGCTATCATGTCATGCAAAATAAGGCAACCGTCTGACCCAAATTGAGTAGGGGATAGCCCTTGTCTCCAGTACCTCAATTTAAAATCTCATCTTCTGAAACTATCTCCTGTACCTGAGGTACATGTGAACGTAATAAAACAGCAGCAGTAGCATCTCCCTACATCCTTTGAGCTTTCTCAGTCAATACCCCAGCACAGACCTTTATACTCAGCTCCTACCTACTCATCTCCACGGTCTCCTGCCTGCCACCCATTTCACCCATAGACATCTGCTTTCTAGCTCTCAGCTGATTAGAAGCAGCAGAGGCCACAGAATGAACTGCCTTGTCCAGCATGCAGAATTCCCTGTGGTTCCAGTGTTCCAAATACACTCCAAAACCAAGGGGCTCACTGGCCACCTGGCCAGCAAGCACTGTCTTTCCCATAGAGAATGTGAACAGTTTGCCTCTGGCCCCGTGAGTACTCTGTATAACCCTGATCCACAATAGTTTCTCGTGGGGTAGAACCCTAGCTGTGATGTTAGATTCTTTTTGTACTAATATTGTAATCATAAAATTGGTCTTAACTTTTTTTTCTAAATTTTTCTAACTTACATAAATAGAGGTATAATTATCCCAGCTCTAACAATTGATCACCCTATGGCAATCTTGTATCATATACTATATTACCTAACCCATAAAGGCATGTCTGACCTCTACATCCTATGATAACCATGAATGTGGCCTGACCAAACCATAAACTAAAACATTACAAGGATTTGGTTTTTGTTTGGTAACTCAATTGCGTGGTTCTCAAGTGTGAACTATGTAGGTAACAACATCAAGAAGCAGAACAAGCCTGAAATAGGAATGGCCCCATAGACTCATGCGTTTGAATGCTTGGCCCATAGGGAGTGGTATTATTAGGAGGTATGGCCTTGTGAAATAGGTGTGGCCTTGTGGGGGGAAGTCTGTCACTGTGGAGGCGTGCTTTGAGGTCTTACATGCTCAAGCTACATCCAGTGTGGCTCACAGTTCACTTCCTGCTGCAGACATGGCTCCATCTCCAGCGCCGTATCTGCCTGAACACCACCATGTCCTGTCATGATAATAGACTAAACCTCTGAACTGTAAGTGAGCTCCAATTAAATGTTTTCCTTTATAAGAGTTGCCATGAATAAAAAAAACATGGAAAAAAAAAAGAGTTGCCATGGTCATGGTGTCTCTTCATGGCAACAGAAACTTTAACTAAGACATTGAGTTTTCTTTACATATTCCAATCCTAAACATTCATTACCATTTTCCACTGTAACAAGAACCCTTCAGCTTGGATGTAAACTCTAGTGTATAACACTTGGTTTAGCAAAGTGGCACCTCCTATATTCAAGACAGCACATGGTTTGAAGTCTATTGTATCTGTATCTCTGTGTGTGTGTGTGTACAGTTTTTATTTTTTCATTTTTTTTGGTTTTACGAGACAGGGTTTCTCTGTTTTGGAGGCTGTCGGTCCAGCCTGGCGTCGAACTCACAGAGATCCGCCTGCCTCTGCCTCCCAAGTGCTGGGATTAAAGGCGTGCGCCACCAACGCCTGGCTTCAGTTTTTATTTTTTAAGAGTTTGTTTTGTTTTGTTGGGTTGTATGTAGGGGTGTTAAATTTCAAGATAAACTTTAATCTCAGCACTTGGGAGGCAGAGGCATGCAGACCTCTGTGAATTTGAGGCCAGTCTGATCTATATACCAAGTATCAGGCCAGCCAGCACTACAGAGTAATGAGACAATGCCTGAGATACAAATATGGGAAATAATGCATCTGAAATTGTGTGGTGATTGTATTTGGTTATAGCTAGCTCAAGCCCCGAAAGAGGCATGGGTAGAGCCAAGCGCTACTGTACCAGAGCTGACTGTGACCAGGATAGCGCACACCTGCCATGTTCTACGCCAGCTACTGCTCTTGGAGAAAGCAGCCCAATGCTGAGAGAATCACTGGGGCAATTTAAGACATTGCAAGGCTATTTTCTTTTTTTTTCCCCTGAGACAAGGTTTCTCTGTATTGTTTTGGAGGCTGTCCTGGAACTCACTCTGTAGACCAGGCTGGCCTCGAACTCACAGAGATCCACCTACCTCTGCCACCCGAGTGCTGGGATTAAAGGCATGAGCCACCAATGCCCGGCCCATGGCTATTTTCTTAAAACAGTAAAGGTATTTGCTGCCAAGCCTGGTAACCTATCTGGTGGAAGGAGAGACAGCTCCTTTGACTTTTACACACACACACACACACACACACACACACACACACACACACAAACCCAACAATACATTTACACAGTACATTTTTAAAACGTATCAAGTCTAGGCTAGACATCCGAGGCTAGGGGTGATGCTGAGGGTAGAGCCCTTGCCTAGAATAGATATCTGAGATGAACTAGACCCACTCTCAACCACAGAGCTGAGGTGTGAAAGAAAACGTTAACCGTAATTATCTCTAAGATGGCAACTGAGTTTGCATAAGACAGCATGTATGTGGGGGGGGAGAGGGAGAGAGAAAGAGAAAGAGAGAGAGAATTTTCCGGAGTATTTTATAAGCCATACTGGTGAGAAATACTCTTAAAGACAGTAAAACCAGCCTGAAGAATGGAAACTTGACAGGCAGAGAAGGAAGCATCATGGGACAGAGAACTGTGAGGTTAGGGCGTGCTATGGATCCAACTCCACTCCAGGCTGCTGCTTTGTGGGCTTGGTGTCCAGCTGCTGCTTTGTGGGCTTGGTGTCCAGCTGGTGGGGCTATTTTAAGAGGCTGTGGAACCTTAGAAGGTGGGGTTTGGTTCCAGAACTCTTGGCTTCCATCCACTATGATGTGAACATCAAACTCTCCCACTGCCATGACCTGTTTTGGGATATTTGTGCACTGTGTGAAGATATATTGCAGTGATTGGTTTAATAAAGAGCTGAACGGCCAATGGCTAGGCAGGAAATCTAGGCAGAATTTCTGGGCAGAGGCATGCAAGATACCATTGAGATATGGAATGAGTCAGACACACAAAATAGGAGAGGTAAAAGTCACATGGTAGAACACAGATTAATAAAAATATTAATTTAATATTTAAAATTCAATTTAATTAATTTAATATTTTAAATTTATCAATTTAAGCTATAAGAGCTAGTAGGACAAGGCCAAACTCTCATAATTAGTAGTAAGGCTCTGTGTCATTATTTGTGAGCTGGCAGCCCAAAAGGAAAGTCTGACTGCAATGAACTGAGCTTTCCCTGCCATGGTGGACTAAAACCCTCTCAAACTGTGCCAAACATCTCTTTCCTCCCTTAGGTTGCTTCTATCAGGTGCTATGTCACAATGACAAGAAACTAATAGAGACACTGGAGGAAAGCCACAATCAGGGAAGCCTGACCTGTCATTCCAGGTAGGAGAGTCCTTCAGTTCTAGTTAACAACAGCCTGGGTGGCACTGAGGCAGCTCATCCCAAGAAACAAAAACAGCAATTTAAAGAACCTACAGAAAAGCTAGAGGATTTATAACTGACAACTGGGGGTAACTGAAGGTTTTTAAATGGGACCTTTTATAATTATAAAAAATAATGCCTTTTATAATAAAAATAATACCTTTCTGGGGCTAGGGATGGAGTCAGCTAGAAGAGAAGACTAGCATGCACCAAAGTCCTTGGGTGTGGTCCCAGCCCATACTGACTGGGGTAGTGGTACATGGCGACAATTTCAGCACTTGGGATGTAAAGGCAGGGAGACAGAAGTCCAATGTCATCCGTGGCTCACTGCAGGGTTTGGGGGCCAAACCTGAGCTTCGGGAGGCATTGGCTACACACACACACACACACACACACACACACACACACACACACACACACGCACACACGTTTTTTTTTTTTTTCCTTTTTTTTCGAGACAGGGTTTCTCCGTGTAGCTTTGGAGGCTGTCCTGGAAATAGCTCTTGCAGAACAGGCTGGTCTCGAACTCAGAGATCCGCCTGCCTCTGCCTCCCCAGTGCTGGGATTAAAGGCGTGTGCCACTAATACCGGGCTTACCCCCCCCCCTTGCTTTTTGGTGCAGGAGACCCACCCACCTTACAGAGAGTAGTAGAATTTACCAAAGTCTAATGGTTAAAATATAGGTCACAAATAAAACGTGCTTGAACAGGCAACAAGGTTGTGCTAAGCCCAACTCTATGCATCACGGCCTCTCCAAAAGGGCCACATTAATTATCCGGTGCAACAAGTGATTGCCATTATGTTCTTCCCACCACACTCTCCTAAATAAGACTGAGTGCTGAGTAAGTCATGCAGAGGTGGTGGTTTTGGAATCATCCTGAAGGGGGCAGGGCTCAAGGAGGCTAAGGTCTTCAGTGGCTTGTGGACACCCTTCTTCCCCTGAGCCCTGCCCACTCATGAATCTAGGCCATCATTTTTAAAACAAAACAAGATCAAGCACTTGAAACAAACACTGAAACCATGACACAGACAAGTGAAAGACGGGAGGACCCTCACTCATTTAAGTCACTGCTGCTATTTGGGTCCTTCCTGTCTTCTCTTAATGTAGAGTTCAAAAGGGCTCTGAGCAGTAACTGCTCTGCCATCAGCAGAGCCTCAGCTTGGGTGCCCGAGTTACCAGATGTCCAAAGTACAAAGTAGCCTTGCTGGAAATGGAAATGACCAGGTGAGGCTTCCCCATTCACATCTGCAGCAACTTCTGCTTCTGGCTTCGTGGCTAGGAACTGGCTATCTCATTCAGGTATACAAGCAGGTCCTGTGGGGTAAATGCCACTCTTGAGCAACTCAGATCTCACGAGCGTGGAGGGCATGGCCTGGAGCCCCAGCAAGCTGCCAGGAGGGGAGTCTGTCTTGGGAGATTTATGTCACAGCCTGGAAGTGGTTTTCTGGGGACGGTCATCACCATGATTCCCAGAAGGACAATTCCTAAAAATAGGTGATGATGTCTCTCCTATGTGTAATTATGTTACGATAAAGCAGCTGACAAGTCATTAGTCACAAGCCATATTGACTCAGATTCCAGCCTGCAGAAGGGACGACCTGGGCCACAACTTACTGAGGGTTTTCCTTGACAGCTCTCGCAGCACTCAGCTTCACCCCTACCTGAGACAACGGGGCTGTATTGGTAGGACCTATGTACCCCTCTCCTAGAGTCCTGAGGTGTCTACCATTTTGCTTCCAAATCACTTGAGTCCAATGATTTATTTCTCCTCCCTCTTTCTCCTTGTTTATTTTAACCCAACTCCAAATTAATATTTTTTGAGAGATAACGTAATGCTTGGCCCCTCCTACCACTTCTCATGACTGAGGAATGAACATCAGCACAAAACAGCTTGTGGTCGCCTCAGAATAGAAAGCAAAGTTAAAGTTTCAGTTTCTTCCCAAAGCTGCCACAGCACTAGTTTACCGTAACTCCTGCTCTATGCACCGCCTGCCTCCTCTCCCCTCCCGTGCAGCTATATTTACTAAATATACAAGGGGTACACACAAAACATAGCTAAACATAGGTTCTTTGAATCAGCAAGCCCTGGTCTACACGGCAGTAAGCCCCGGTCTCCAGGGAGGCACTGAGTGAGAAGCACTGAGCACAGACAGCAGAGGTGAGTGCAGGCAGCCAGGCACACAGGCAGCCAGGCACACAGGCCACCGCCCTCCTCTGGCACCGCCCTCCTCTGGCACCGCCCTCCTCTGGCACCGCCCTCCTCTGGCACCGCCCTCCTCTGGCACCGCCCACTCTCTCCCTTTGAGCTTTTTTTTTCTAAGAAAAATATTTATTTCAAGTACACACTGAATCTTCTAAGAAAATATATATGTCTTTCAATTACATGCTGAACCTTGGACTATCATTTCAGCTTAGGTTTTTATTTAATTATCTACATTCCTATCTATCTATCATCTATCTATCTATCTTATCTATACATCCATCTATGTTTTCATGGCGCCAAAATTTAAAGTCAGTGAGAAAATTATTAAAGTTTAGTACTTTCTTTTTTGTTTTATCATATCTTTTTTTTTAAATTTTATTTTCCAGTTTAAATTTAGGTAAGAAACAAGGTTGCTTCACAAGTCAGTTCCAGGTCCCTCTCCCATTCCCTCCCTCCCTCCCTCCCTCCCGAGCCCTCCCCTCCCCCCGTTATCCCCTCATTTCCCCAGGGAGGGTGAGGCCCTCCATGGGGGTGTGCATAGTCTGTCATTTCATATAGGGCAGGGCCTAGACCCTTCCCCAAGAGTTCGGGGTGAGAGTGCACCTCACATTGTTCTATGGGAGTCCAAAGTCCGTGTGTATACTTGGGATGGGTACTGATCTGCTGCCCAAGGCTCAATAGATTCCCTAGGCCTCCTCACTGACACCCAGATTCAGGGGGTCTTGATCAGTCCCATGCTGGCTTCCCAGGCTGATGCCTGGGATTCAAGAGTTAACCTTTGTCTAGTCAGCTGTTTCTGGGGGTTAAACCAGCCCAGTCTTAATCCCTTTGGTCATCAGTCCTCCCTCTCTCTTACTGGCTTTCTTGAGTTCAGCTCAGTACTTAACCAAGGGAGTCTGCCTCTTCTTCGATCAGCCACTAAATAAAGTTTCTGTTTCCCAGACTCTTTAACAGTGCTAGATGCTGCTGCCGCCACTACATCCTGCCCTACTCACTGAGGCTGCCTGGGAAGGAAAGGGACACACGGCGAAGACGTATCTAAAAGCACGAAAGCATGGAGAGGGGCTGGGAGACTGGGAAGCCCGGCTTGTGCTCCTCAGACACATCCCACTGCAGGGGCTTCGCACCACAGGTCCACCGCCAGTCACTGATCTCACGCTTAGCTTAAGCTCACCGACTGAAGGAAGCCCTGTGGGACCCGAGGACAGGGAAGACACTGTGGTTCTGGTTTTCTAGACAGATGATAAGACTACAACAGCGATTAAGTTGTCTGGGAAGAAATTCTTGTCCATCAGGCATTCGAAATGTGAGCCTAAATACAGACGATCCCACGGGCTCTCGCTGTAATAACAGGGGTCATGGGTGCAGAGACAGCAACCACACCACACAAAAATGTTCCCGTAAAACAGACTGCCACCTTTCCCCCAAACCAATGGCAGAGACCTGTGGAGAAAATGTGCATTTTCTAAGGAGCTAACAGCAGGGTAACAAGCTTATTGTCCACAACTGTTGACCACTAAGTGGAGCCCACGCCACCACCCACTATCTGATGGGAAGCTCTTATCATATACAATCTAAATAAAGACCAAAATACTGTGAGTCTCACTGTGTGTCTGTGTGGCCTGTTCATATCTGCTTGGCCACTGCCCTCTTGTCACCCTTCATCCACAGATAGTTCTTTTTGTAACCCAAACCCTCTTTTGCTAACACACACACACACACACACACAAACACTTTAAAGTATAAATTCTACATACAACTGTATTTGTCACCCCATTTTTCATATCCCCTCCATTTAGACTCCTTTCTCTCCTCACATAGCTCCCTTTCATGACTGATACACACACACACACACACACACACACACACACACACACACACATATTTTTTAAGTCTAGAGCCAACATACGAGAGAAAACACCCGGTATTTGTTTTTCTGAGCGCAGCTTGTTTCACTTAGCGCGATCTCCAGTTCCATACGCTTTCCTGCTAACGACAACATTTCATTCCTCTTTACAGGGGAATGATATTTTGTGCGTACGTGCTGTGCATCTCCACCGTGTTTGTGTGCCAGAGCTTTTAATCCATCCACTTGTTGATGGCCATCAAGGTTTCCATGTCTGGGCTTCAGGGAGTGGTGCATGTGGTGTTCTGGTATGTCTTTGGCATACTGACTTAGATTCCTGCAGCCTATATGCAGCAATGGTTCTGCTGAGTCACACGGTTCTATTTTCAGGATTTCTTGAGGAACCTCCACACTGATTTCCACGTTGGCTGTACTAGTTTATGTTCCCACCAGCGGTGTCTTGAGAGTATCCTCCCCTTACCCCAGGTAGTACAATTAAATAACAACCTAAATTATTTACTACTAAAGTAAAATCAAATCAAGCAACTGCACATTTCTCCTGCATTTCTTGTGCTTTGTTGCAGAAAGATGAGTCTCACTATATGCCACAGGCCAGCGTGAAGCTAAGTGTCCAGCCCATACAATGAAAGCACCTAGGATAGGACTCGATCTGGGCCATGTGTTGGCAAACAAGGGCTAGGAGACAAACTCAGCCAGCAGCTAGCCAGCCAGTTTTGTCTTTAGGGTTTTGATTTGTTTTAATGCTCTACAAGCTAAGAATAGCTTTTAATTTTTAAACTTACATTGATTGGTGGGCTGATTGACTGTGTATGCATGTATTGAGGTCAGAGAATAAAATGTAGGAGTTATCTCTTTGCAGCATGTGGTCCTAGGAACTGAAAATCAGGCTTATCACCCCAAGAATGATTTTAACTTTTTAAAAATGTTCAAAAGGGCTGGCATTATGCCTATGGATACTTCAGTAAAGGCCACCAAGCCTGACGATCTGAGTTCAATTCCCCAGAGATCCACAGGGTGGAAGGAACAAACCAACTCTGACAAGTTGTCCTGTGACCTACACACACACACACACACACACACACACACACACACACACACACACACACACACAAAACATAACATGTGAAAATTTTTCTTCGCCTTGTCATACTTCACAGATGTTTTGGTATGCTCTTGTTATTGCTTTTATTTTCTCTTTACTTCAGCTCTGCAAAGATGAGTGGATGGGGACCGTGTACAGTCTTCTTTAGATATTAGACAGGCAAGTTTGGAAGTAGATCTCTTCAACTCGATAAACAACAAGGCCAGCAATAGATCCCTTTCCTTACCGACATCCTGAGGCATCCCCATTACACAACTCTGTCTTCCTGGCTATCTACCAAGTGTGGCTGCCCAAAGTCTCTTAAACATTCTCTACATATTTGACAGCTCACCATAGTGTAAAATTCATTCTTCCTAAAATAGGATGGAAACAAACTCCCAGCCCATTTCCTGCAGAGTGGACACAGCACTTCGGGCTAGTGGTGCCCTGTCTGATGACGAAGGTGGAACATCGTTGGCTGACTATTCTGACCAGCTCCTCGAAGCTTTGCCTGGGGTCTGTGTCTTTAGCCACACCACAGCCCATGACCATGACCCACTTTATCTGCTCTTTCAGGCTTTTCCACGCAAACTTGCTACTATAGAGCCACAAGGTCCAGAAGAAACTTTCATGATACTTTAAGATGTTTTACTACATGCATTTATTCTTACCAAGATGGGAGTATGAGTGTGTAGGTCCGAGGACAACTGGTGTGAGCTGGTTCTCCTTCCATTATGCTGTGGTCAGGCTTGCAGAAGAGCCTTTGCCTGCTGAGCCATTTCAACAGCTCTACCGGACCTCTAAAACCTCTCAGAACATCTCCCTGCCATTGCCTTGCAAAGCACGGCCCTGTTTCCAGAGGACTTAAAGAGGACCCTGTGGCTAGCGTTTGAGACGCCAGACCAAACAGGTCCTTCTTGCCACGCCTCTCGGAGTCTTCCAGTGCACATGTGTTTTGCACATTCCCAACACAGGAATGAGAAGACACATCTGAGACGTTTACCTGACCACTGAACCATTTCCTAATATACTTCACAGACTAGAAATGCTCCTGGGAAGTGGGGAGGAAAAATGTCTGTAATTATAAAATACCAAGAAAATAAGGCTGCTGAAATGGGGAATGTAATCATGAGATACATATCAGAGCAAAAATGCTTTCCTACACTATTTTGGGAAATCAACTTGGTAGTAATTAGCAAGTGCCTTGATAATTACACTCTTGTACACAGGAATTACACACCTGGGAATTTATACTTTAAAAAATCTGAAATGTGGACAAACTTCAGATCCTTACCCCTTAATGCACACCTATGATCTCATGAGGAAGGAAAAAGTGCTATCTCTTGAGAAAATACATTCGCTACTCGACTGGAAAGTACAAGAAACAAATGAGCAATTATATTCTTAGTGACATCAAAACAGTATAAATATGTGCTTAGCCCCCTATCTTTCCCAAGAGAATTGCTGCTGTTACTTCAGATTCCCCACATGCCCGTAAGAAAGCAGTAAGAAGACCGGCCCGCCCCGACATAAATATGTAGGAGAGGTGTTCTGAGGCTGAGCACAACGGGAGGGTGAGCATGATCCTTGAACCCCGGATGGAGGCTCCCTTCAGGACTCACTAACTTAGTAAAGGACATGATAACGATGTTAAATGACTGCATGTTAAACCTTTTTAAACAGCTAACTTAGCTATTTTAAGAGGTCACTTAGTATTAAATACATTTTCTCAAGTTATATTTTAAGTACATGTGTGCAGTCATGACTTATGAAAGAATACAAAAACTGGAGGAGCTAAGGAAGCGTCCTGTGAGGCAAGCTGCAGGTCCAGATCATGTGACTAAGGCCGGCTGCCCTCTAGCGGTGGAGAGCCACACTGGCTCTGAAGCTTCTGGGGATCGGTAAGCTTTTCCTTACAGCTTTAAGTCACAGAACGTCACAAAGAGGCAACAAAGTTTCTAAAACTGCATAGAGGATCTTAAACCCCAAAGGAAGAACTAAAGGAGGCATTCAGTCTAAAGGCCACTGCTTCCTAACATATTCTCATTGCATAGATCAATGTTTCTCCACCTGTAGGTCGAGACTCTGACCTGTGAGGGAACGAACTATTTTTTTCTGGCTTTCTCTCCAACCAAGGCCCAGATGCCTTCCATGATGGCTTCCATATTTTTCCCTGCACACGTTCAGCCCTCACGATTTGTGCCAAGTCCACATACCCTGAGACAGAATATGAGTATCGATGGTCTCCCTTTTAGATTCATTCATCAACAATACAGTCTCATCGGAAGGGAGACTATGGGTGCATAGTTCACTGAGAAAATGAAGCTTCTACTCTGGTCTATCAGAGGACACCACACAGTAGCATGCTGTGTATGACTGACTGGGGGAACCTAACACCCTGGAGCTTATCTGGTGATTGACAGGGACCTCTAGTCCTCTCGGCGAAAACAGCATTTGTCTGAAGAGGTAACATCAAAAGAGCACAGACTCACCATGCCGAGTAAGAAACAGCAGTGGGTTCAATCTGCACAGCCTTTTAATGTTGTAGTGTTTCCCTGTGCTGCTTGAGTTAAGAGCCTGCAGACTCTGCTACAAGGAAAGACTCAGAAGGTAAAAGCCTAAGTATGAAGCCTGACAACTGAGTGGCAAACTCACTCCAGCACTACTTAACTTCCCACGCGTCCATGAATCACAGGGGTGTGTGGTGGTGGTGGTGTCTAACCACCAAATGTGAGTTTCTACAGGTGGTGTTCTTGGAGCAACAGGAGACTTTAGTGGGTGACAGGGGAAGGCTTTTCCTTTCCTTTCCTTCCTTCATTTTTTTTTTCAAGACAGGGTTTCTCTGTGTAACCGCTCTGGTTGTCCTGGAAGTCACTTTGTAGACCAGGCTGGCTTCAGACTTACAGAGATCCACCTGCCTCTGCTGGGATTAAAGGATTGCACCATTACCACCGGGCTCTTGTTTTGTTAGTTATTTATTTTTATTTAGTGCACACTGGTTTTTTGCCTGCCTGCATGTCTGTGTGAGGGTTCCAGTCTACTGGAACTGGAGTTACAGACAGTTATGAGCTGCCATGTGGGGGCTGGGAATTGAACTCGGGTCCTCTAGAAGAGCAGCCGGGTGCTCTTAACCACTGAGCCATCTCTCCAGCTCTGGGAAGGCTTTTTTAAAACTTGAGTGACTCACAGAAATTAAAAAGCAAAGAGGCCCAGACTATTTTCTTTTTAAGTAACAACCAAGCATGGTCAGTCCTGGGGCTTGAGACGTTAAAGCAGGAGGGTCACCACAATCTGAAGGCCAGTCTGGGCCACACCGAAGAACTGACACCTCCCCCACCCCAAAGTGAATATCAAAATATGCAACAGAGATACACCAGCCTGCAAAGCTTGAAAATAGTGTAAGGTAGGAGGCGTATTACAATCCAAGTATGTCCTTAGACTCTTGTAAGAGGCAGGAAGTGGGGGAGGAGGGGCAGAGCAAACCTAGCAGCATCAGTTCTGTCCTCTGAAAAATAGAAAGAGGACCAACTCCATATCCACAGATGTAGGGTGTGTGATAACACCCATCTACTTACTGATGCCCTGGAAGGAAACTGCACCATGTGTCGTCTGCAGAATAGTTATTTTTATGAAGCTATATGGTTTCTTATT